ATTGACCATTTCCTTTTGGTACAGTGACTCTGTGTACTCCTTCCACCTTCTCTGGATGCTTTCTTTGTCGTTCAGTATTTTGCCCAGAGACTCCTTCAGTATCCAAAATCGAAGTTTGAATTTTTTTTTCCAGTTCCCTCAGCTTGAGAAATGGTGAGCGTGTTCTTCCCTTTTGGTTTTCTAACTCTAAGTCTTTGTACATTTTGTTATACTATTTGACTTTGCCTTCTCGAGCTGCCCTTTGAAATTTCCTATTCAGCTCTTGTACCTCCTCACTTCTTCCATTTGCTTTAGCATCAAAACGTTGGAGAGCAAGTTTCAGAGCCTCTTCTGACATCCATTTCAGTCTTTTCCTTCTTTCTTGTCTAATGACCATTTGCTTTCTTCTTGTATGGTGTTCTTTTGATGTCATTCCACAACTCTTCTGGTCTTTGGTCTTTAGTGTCTAATGTTATCAAATCTGTTCTTGATATAATCTCTAAATTCAGGTGCTTTGGCTGATGCTATGGAACTTTCCCCATCTCTTTCCACAGATGTAGTCAATCTGATTTCTGTATATTCTATCTGGTGAGGTCCGTCCATGTGTATAGTCGTCTCTCATGCTGTTTAAAAAAGGTATTTGCAATGAAGAAGTCATTGGTCTTACGACAAAATTCTGTCATGTGACTGACCTCCAGCCTTGTTTTTATCACCAAGGCCATATTTTCCAATGAATGATCCTTCCTCTTTGTTTCCAACATTTGCATTCCAATTGCCAGTTTGACTGCATGTTTGATCGATTTCAGACTAAAGAAACTGGTAGAATTCTTCAATTTCATCATCACCTGCTTTAGTGGTTGGTGCGTAAATTTGAATAGTGGTACTAACTGGTGTTCCTTGTAGTCAGATGGATATTATCCTATCACAGACAGCATTGGACCTCATGACTACTCTTCATGTGTTCTTTCTGATGACGAATGCAATGCCATTCCTCTTCAATTTGTCATTCCCAGCCTAGTAAACCATGGGATTGTCAGATTCGAAATGGCCAATACCAGTCCATTTCAGCTAATGCCTAGGATATTGATGTTTATACATTCCATTTCATTTTGACAATTTCCAATTTTGTAGCTTCAAACTCGG